GTAAACTTCCAAGAGTGTTAAGTAAAAATTGATTAGAAATCTTTGAATTTCAATTTGCAGAATCACCAAAAACAAACAGTATAACATGAAAATGCTGCTTGACAGCTTACATTTGAATGTTAACGCACAAGTGTTTTATCCAAAGAAGTTACAACCACATAAAATGAAGTCAGAGCCTGCCTCTGGGAGGAAAGGGTTAGATACCATTTCTATCATCATCCAAACCTAAATGATTCATTTAAAGACTTTTTTGACTGATGGTATTTATCGCAATAAACGTAATTCAAGTTATTGTAGTTCATGCAATAGAATCAACAGATTTTATTCACAATTAATTTTGTGTCAAACTAAATTTAATGATTTATTAGGACTATTTTAAATGAATAGCTATAATATTATAGAGGATCATTTTATGAAGTTTTCAAGAAAAGATAAAGAAATCAAATTCCATCCTAATATTACTACATGTTAATGTTAAAATACCATAGGAAATATTTTACATGTAAAACTTAAAGTATGTAAAATAGATTTAATTGACTGCTTGAATTTCTAGTTGGGAGTTAATGCATGTATTTATTTTATATAAGTTGCCTCAAGTTTTTTCTTAAAATCCCCAGTAATTCTTAAATATTCCTTTTCACCACAAAATGTAACATTCACATTTGTATACATGTACTGTGCTGAGAACAATACTATTAATACTGCATAACAGTATAAAACTGCTGGTTAAATAGCCCAGGGCTTATACACCTTTGCAAGGGGTTTTCTGAGGGCTTATAAATAAATGGCCTTACAAACACACCTGTAATGTAGATATCTGATATGGCTTAAATTTACCGGAACAGAAAGAGAAATTTGAAACACGCTTTAGCAGCCCTGATTTGAATATGTTTTTGCAGATTAGATTTATTCATTGCCTCATTTCAGTTACACTTTAGGTCTTGATTAAAAATGTAGACATTATTGCAGCCTTTAAAATGGACCACTTGGCAATTGTACTTCATTTACAAGAGTTTGAGGAGACTAGAAAAGGGCCAGGTTTCTGAAAAAATGGACACATCGTTTTTGTCAGATGAGAAGTGTATTCAATTTATTAAAACGAATCAGGAGATATGCAAAGGAGGAGGGAAAGAATCCTCAGATAAAAGAGTCGCTTGGGATTGGATTAGATATAAGGTTTGCTTTTTTGGATCCAATACTCAAAAGAGCTTACTAGAACTAAGGGAGATAAAGAGAAAAGTCTACAGAAGAATTAACTCCAAGCCACTCATATACAATTTCAATAAAATCCTTGCAAAGAATTTGATAATATTCTGAATAAATATAAAACTGAGTTAGAAAGATTTTACAAAGAGAAAGCCAATGGATTAATTGTATGTTTAAGGGTGAGATGGCATGAACATGGGGAAAAATGTACAAAGTATTTTCAAGTCTGGAGAAAAGACACCAATTACAAGGAAACCTATTAGGGAACTTTGTCTAAACAGAGTTATAACTATCAACTACGAAAAAGAAAAATAGGCTCATCTTTGAATTATTTTAAACATCTATTAATAGTATTAACAATGAGGAGCAGCATGATTAGTTGGATCACTTTCTTCGTCAAGCTAGCATTCCAGAATTGTCAGAGGAAGAAAAACTATTGAAGAGTGTGCCAAAACACTGGATACTTTTGGAAATGGAAAGACAGTATAAGTACAAAATTTTACAAATTAATCTTTTTGGAGCTCTGTAGGTGAGCTCATGACCGCTGCTTTTAATTGCTCTTTTGACTCAGGAGAATTGTAAAATTCAGAAAGAGGTAATTATTGCATTTACTGATAAAACAGGTAAAGATCAAATGTATTTGGAAAACTGGAGGCTGACTTCATTAGTCAATGCTGACTTCAGGCTTGCTTCTAAGGTCATCAACAGAATAAAAAAAGTCCTTCCTTGAATAATCCATCATAATCAAGTTCTGACTGGTGCACTATCCCCTCAGGGGTACCCCAGGGGTCCATCTTGGGCCCCT